CAAAAAAGATAAACCTACTCCACTGAATTATGGTATATCACAATTTTCAAACAGTATTTGCCTCACAAGCGCAAACATTTGCCTCAAAGCCAAACGAGACAATTACTTAGTTGAACTTAAAGTACCATTGACGAGAAGCTCGCTTGAGTCCATAAATGGATTTCTTTAATTTGCATACCAGATGTTTTGGATCTCCAATTACAAAATTTTCTGGTTGCACCATATATATTGTTTCATCAATGTTGCCATTGAGAAACGTAGTCTTAACATCTATTTGATGAAGCTCAAGATCAAGATTTGCAACTAAGTCCATGATTGTCCTAAAAGAATCCTTCGAAGAAACTGGAGAGAAGGTTTCTTTATAGTCAGTCCCTTCCTTTTGAGTAAAGCCTTTTGCTACAAGACGTGCGTTATATCTTTCCACATTACCTTGAGAATCCCTTTTGGTTTTAAATATCCATTTGCAACCAATGGGTTTCTTTCCTTCAGGTAATTGAACAAGATCCCACTTTCCTTCAGGTAATGAACCAAGAATCCAAAACTTGAATTGTCTTGCATTAGACTTATACTCTCGTTCATTGCCTTCGAATCCACTTAATGAGAGTCAGAACTCTGCATAGGCATGGGATTAGAAACTCACTGGAATCATCATCTAATCATGTCTACAGTAATCCCTTTCAATGTTCCTGAAGAAACAGCTAATATAATCATAACCTGGAATGGCACTGCACTTCTTCTCTCCCTAGTAGATCTCCTCAAAGGCATTTGAACAGACTCTAATTCTTGAGGTTGTTGAATTTGTTCTTAAGGAAGAATAGCATTGTCTGGAATTGGATCTTGAATAGTGACAGGAGCAACTGGAGTCTGTACGCTATCAGAAACAACAAAAGGAATGAGAACCGAATCATCCTTACTTGGTTCCTCTTTAAAGACAATGTTTCTTTCTTTATTTCTCCCTCCAAAATCAACATCCTCAAAAAATGTTGCAATTCTCGTTTCAAAAAAAAGTTCTGGAAGTAGGATTATAAGGACAGTAGGATTTAATAGAAAACTTGTAACCCCTAGACCCGGTCTCAGCAATATCCCACAAAGTAGCTGCTGATAAGTTTTGGAGTCCAGTTTTGTTTCTATTCGCTTTGTATAGGCCTAGCTTCACTGGACCATCCCAAACATGAAGATGCCTTTAGACTGAGGCTTACGTGCCAAGTCAAGTTCAGGGTTGAGAGGTGTTTTCAGCAACTGCTTTAGATGGAATCCTATTGAGAAGATAAAGCTTGCTGTCTTTAACGCGTTCACCCTCACAGGAGACTCTCGGTAAAGTAAGAAATGACTAAGATCATACTCGGCTTACCAATAATCCATAAGAGTCCTATTACGTCTCTCAGATACACCATTCATGCTGGGAGTACCAGGCATTGTATATTGAGGGACAATTCCACATTCCTGTAGGAAAAGCGAAAAGGTCCTGGACGTTGTTCGCCTGAACCGTCATATTTACCATAATATTCACCACCACGGTCAGATCGAACAGATTTAATCTTCTCTCCCAGTTGATTTTCAACTTCAGCTTTATAAGATTTAAACACGTCCAAAGACTCAGATTTTTCATGAATGAGATATAAGTAACCATAAAGAGAATAGTCATCAATGAATGATATAAAATATCTTTGGCCATTTCTAGCTGCGAATAGTCATCAATGAAATGATATAAAAATATCTTTGGCCATTAGTTTCTAAGTTATCTTTGGCCATTTCTAGCTGCAATATGGAATGGACCGCAAATATCTGTATGAATCAGTTCTAAAACATTGGATGACCGAATGGCACCTAGTCTCTTCTGTTTAGTCTGTTTTCCTTTAATACACTCAATACAAGAATCCAAACCTGTGTAATCAAGTGTATCTAAGATACCATCAGAAACAAGACGCTCAATCCTTGATTTGGATACATGACCCAAACGTCTATGCCAAAGTACAACTGAGTTATCAATATTCAATTTTCTTTTGGTACCTCTTGTAGTAACATGCAGGGATTCATGATAACTAGTATCAATGTCTAACATATATAGATTATCACATTCATTCAAGCAACCAAAACATTATAATGATTATGCACATTCATTCAAGCCAAGCCAGTACCGTCAAAAACTTTTGAATTCGATAGATAAAAAGTGAATACACTGCATCTCCAAGAAGAAAATGAAACGCAGATTTGTTCCCAAAAAGGAAAAGAAATCAAGTTCCTTAAAAGAGGGAATAACAAAAGTATCTATAGAGATCCTAAAAATAACCAGTTTACTTAAAACATAATCGTAAAATGTCCAATTGCCTCTAACTTCAACCGGGATCGGCCATTTTTCCTACAATAGAACGTTTCTTTCACCGTAATGTGGCTTTTCGCTGTGAAGTTGAGGCAGGCCGCTGCAATGAAAACAAACTGTATATGAGCGGTAGCTAACCGGAATCCATCAATAATGTGTTTTGGAGCTGAATGTTTAAATTGAACTTCAACAACAGACTAAAACAAGGTACTTAACAAGGTACTTACCCCTCTTTGCAAGCCAATTAGCAAATTTAGGACAGTCCTTTCTCAAGTGATCCGTCTTTCCACAAAAGAAGCATTTTGGCACATAAGGCTTCTTTTGTACTGGATCTACAGCAGTAGCAACAGCAGGTTTCTCAATAGCCTTTTCAACAGTCTTTGCAGAAGGCCTCTTTCTTTTCTTGTTCTTGCCCTTCTCAGCTGAAGAAACAAAATGAGCACTCTCTCTTTTGTTAGAATTCATCTTTTCCTCCTCATCAACACAATGAGAAATGAGCTCGTTAAGAGTCCTCCTCCTCATCAACACAATGAGAAATGAGCTCGTTAAGAGTCCATTTATTCGGCTGACAATTATAGGAAGTCCTAATTTGTCCATACTGAGAAGGAAGAGAATTCATAACCAAATGGACTAAAAGGTCATCTGGTAAAGCCATACCCAGCACCTTCAGTCTCTTTGCAATCTGAGACATGCTAAGAATATGCTCCCGAGCACCACCATTGCCAGCAAACTTCATGGAGGTTAATTTTCCTAAAAGTGTTCTCACTTCGGCTTTGTCATTCTTGACATAAGCCCTCTTTCGGCTTTGTCATTCTTGACATAAGCCCTCTCCAGCTCGGCAAGATAGTTTTGAGCATTGTTCTTTTCAGCTGAGACAGAGTCTCGAACATGTTCTGGTACTCCTTTCTGCATGATCATCAGACCTAAGCGATTAGAACGCTCCCGCTTCTCATACTGAACCCTTTGAACATCAGTGCTCGTAGCAGTAAGAGGAGCAGGTTCGTAAGAGGAGCAGGTTCGTCCATCCTGAATGCAAGATCCAAATCCATACAGCCCAGAAAGATCATAATGTCTGATTTCCAAGACTCAAAATTTGATCCCTTAAGTTTAGGGACACAATCAGGATTAAATGACATGTTAGCTGACATCAGAGAAAATAAACAAATAGATAAGTATAAGCTCACAATTCACAAATGAAACAATTCACATAAGTAGAGATAAAAATGGAAATAAGATACAGACTCAACATTAATATTCTCATCTTTGGATGTAAAATATTCACTTGTAATTAGTATCTCAACGCAGCAATCAAATATTGATAACATAGTCCTGACAAATAATAAATCTTCCTTTGGACCGATATATCATTGTCATGGAAAATAATCAAACAATTATCACATACTTATTGATTATCACTAATTATTGCCAACATGTATTCAAGAACTCAGCCAGGATAGCTAACCTTCCTTTGGCCGATTAAACTATCCGCAAAGAATTCTGAATACACCTGTCTTAATATTCTAAATAAATCAATTCAAGCAATAGAGGTCACTTTGGGTGACTTATTGGATCAAATCAGATTTATTTTAATAAATATCAAACAGAATAGGGACTTGAATCACCTTCCAAATGTTGTTAATCTGCAAGTCGCAAATTTAATTCATTTAATTGTAATTAAGAACAAGAACAATTGCACAGTTAAATGATGATTTGTCTAAAATATTTAATAATCTAAAATTAATTAGCCATAAAAATTATAATCTAGTCTTGTAAGTCACTAAATTAGAGACTGAAAGTTTATAAAATTGGTAACGCTAAATAAAGTTTGAATAAATAAAGTTCGGGCGATCTATTTTAATTTAAATTAGTATAATCCCATGGGTCTAAGACGAAAGAAAACAGAGAAATTAAGGGGGCCTAAATCTGCAAGTTCACCAGAAAATTTAGGAGCCTAATCCGTGAGTTACAGAAACTTTAGGGTGAGCCTAAATCCGAAATTTACAGAAACTTAAAGCCCTAAACCTGAAAGTTATCCAGGGTACCTAACTGGTAATTTGCCATCCCTAACCCTAAAACAAAACACGATTAACAAGGTCCGCCGCAACCAAAAACGATCTGAAATTTTTTTTTTTTTTTTTTTTAACAAAATCGCCGGCAAAAAAAATAATAAATAAATAATATAAAAATCACACGAAAAATTAATCGTGCAATAGGCGTGTTGGTGCAAAGAACCTCTTACTTGTTCTTGGGGGAATCCGAAAACAAGTGAGAAAAAAAATTTTGTTTTTTTTTTTAATTAAACAAAACCCTCAACGCCGTAAACAGTAGGGGTACAAATAAAACATACTCGAAAATCAATCTAAAATGCTAGCAATTATGCACAAAGGACTCTGATACCACTTTGGTTAAGAATTAATCTCAAAAATAATTCCACATATAACCTGAGATGCGATGCATACCAACTAAGATCAAACAAAATAGATTGAATAGAAAAGGTTGCGTAACTCGCCTCGACATCTCAGTTGTTCGTTTCGAACTTGATGTGTAGAATTAGGTTTTGCAGCCTTCGCAAGAAAATTGAAGAATCGAATTTTTGCGGAAGCCATGTACGAAAGAGAACGTAGAAACTGAATCGTTAAGACTTATTTGATTCATCTTGAAATTAAAATGAGAACAGAAATAGATGCTTAAATTCAAAAAACCTTATTTCAAAGAAAAATAAGAGGCCAAATTGGAAAATTCATACCTAATACTTTTGCAAAGCCAAGTCCAAAACCTATAAAAGAGTAAGCAAAGGACATGATAGCTGCAACTACTGAGAGCCATTCTATGCTGTGAATATCTGGTATTTGTGAAACTATTATCTAAACAAGTCCAAATACAAGCATAAAGAAATTATCTCCATATGCACATGCAGCTTTATGCCCTTCTCTGTGATAGCAATTTGACCTTTGAATTGCTCTACAATAATGAAATAACAAAAGAAATTGTAACATACAAAACCTAATATTAATTAAGTAATTAAGTACTTGGGAGGAAGTAATTAAGTACCTCATGCTGGTTGAAGTAGTTGGTTGAAGTAGTAATAACATAAGCAACACAAGTCCCATACATGCTTAAGTATTGAAGCAAGCCACAAAACCACGTCTGCGTCTTACCTGAACTATCACTAAATCAAATGAGCTAGAAACAACACATCACCCTGTAATGATTAAACCAAATTAAAAAGAAAGAAACAAGAAAAACAGAAGAAAATGTTCAATATACTACCAAGGTTCACTCTGACAGCATCCATATAACAGTAGTTTCGCGTTCCGGTTACTGGGTCAGGAGATCTGTAACAATCTGATAAGAGGAATGCAGAAATATAGCTGTAACAATCTGATAAGAGGAATGCAGAAATATAGGTGACAATTGCAAAGCAAAGAAGGGCAATTGGCCCTGCAATCCATCCTAGCTGTGCTGTACTCCATGCCAATGACAGTACTCCAGACCCAATAACAGCAGTTATTATATGAGCTACGCAACTCCATAAGTTTCCTAATATGGGAAAAATAAAAGTTCGAACTTCAATCTGAGATGAATTAAAAAAATAAGAAAAGATTTTCTTTACCAGTTCTTGAAGGATGCCCATCATCATCACAAGAACTACTTGCTAGTTCCATAGAGTTTTGAACTGCCATGCTTCTTCAACGGACAGAAGGAAATGAAATATGCACCGAAGGCTATTGTTACCTGTATGGCCAAAATAGAGTTCAACTGACAGAAGGAAATGAAATATGCTCCGAAGGCTATTATTACCTGTATAGAAAGCTTTAACTCTGAACCATATCCAAATAGCAATAAAGAAATATGTGGAACATCTTTCTTACCAAATAATTTCTTGTTGGTACTTAGGAAATGTTTGAAGGCAGCAGAAGCAATATTAGTGATAGAACGTCCTGACTTTCTGCAGTAGGAGACAATCTTGGCTAGTCAATGCACACTTTAAGCATGTGGCTATCATTTGGTAGAAGAGTCCAATATATACTATGCAGGAAAATGTCATTCTGATACCAACGACTTGTTAACATCATGGTAAGAAAATGAATAGCAACTTTTCTGTAGAACTACATTTTATTTTAAATTCAATTTTCATTGTCCCACATGAGGTATCCCAGCCGTTAAACTCTTTCAATAAAGTTTTTTTACGAGTTGGTTTTGATTGATGAAATTTGAGTGATGGAATTTGAATATTTGATTGAGAAAAAAAAATATATTAAAATTTATAAAATTAATTTTTTATAAATGATGGAATTTAAATCACTTAATTTTATTTCAATCATACCCTTGGAATTTTAATCACTTAAAGATTTTATTTCAATCATAAACCACTTTAAATGTATTCAGTTATTGTTTATGTTCTCTAAACAAATAATGAAGATTGTACATATTTCTTCCAATTTAAACACATTTATGAACTATGGTTACTCAATCACTGGGCGAGTTAGGTTGTGATCAATCACATACCATATAATAGATATAATTCTTGCAATATGTATATGTATGTTGGGGACGTTGCATGTGAGACTAGTTCAATCCATCTGGCCTAACTAACTAACACAGAGACGAAGCACCTGAGCAGCAGATTAACCCATGTCAAGCCCTACTTAGTACTTATACATGGCGACAGCCATGGCAGAACTCAGAAGTATTTATAAAAGCATCATTAGCATTCTTATTTAACTGAAAACTGTCTAAATTGGCTTATTTTTATTCCTTTCCTTAATGAATTCTTAAGAACAAAAATTTTTACTATCTCCTAGTTTAATATATCAGAATACCTCGTGATACAGAAGAAAAAAAAAAAAAGAAAAAAAAAAAGAAGAAAAAAGAAGGGCGGTCTAAGATTAACACTGGCGCACACACATATTAGACACTTATATATGAAATCTTCAACAGATATATTCAATGTGTTTGGTCATTTGAATTGTACCTTCTTGTTAGTTCACTATATACTTAGTCTTCCAAACCGAGATCGTCAGCTTTTTTGCACAGATATTGTCCCTGAAAATTTAGCCCTACTAGCACAAGTTTGGTGGGTTGTTTGGTTGGTGGATGTATGGCCAAACTGACTAATCCTTCTCTAATCAGGAAGCATTCCATGGAATTCAATTTTGTCGATGGCAAAATCCTACAAGCCAAGCAATGGGAGGATAATGTTGAAAAGTATATTTTATTTTCTACTTATCAAGCAACTAGTTAGTTTATGCAATACCTATAAAGGTTTCGTTTTTGTTTTAATACAGTCATTGCCTTTTTTGTAGTAAATATGTGTTCGTTTCCTTCTTTTCTTCTTTTTTAACCTGAAATTTTTAATATTATATTCTTTTTTGAGCGCAGGGTGATACTAGTTTTTTGGGAGGCACCCGTGGCCACTCAAATTAAAAAAATCTTAAAAAAAATTACATTTTGGCAAGGTTATGTGACAACAGAACCCGATAAATATGTGTTGGTCAATCAATTCAGATTGTGGGTGAATGGTTTCGGGATTTCCAAAACCGTAATCTGTTTTACGAAAATTGTTCTTAGTTCTTTGATTTTGTTGGTTGGTTACCTGGGCCTGTAAAAACAGTTCTCCAATTCCATGTTGCACCCTTTTTTCGATAAATCTAAACTTTAAAAGCTGACAGTTTTAAATAATTAAAAATGTCGTTTTTATAATTATAATCATGCGTACATTTTGTCTTTTTTATAATATAGAAAAAATAAATGTAGCTTTCCTTCCCCCTAGAAGCTTTTATTTTCTCGGGTAGGAAACATGATTTGATCAAAAAGTAGTTCCTTGACAGTTAAAATTTCTCTATCATTGGTCATTTCCTGCAAATTATAGGAACACCATAAAAATTAAAATTGCTGTAGCATGATTGTTCAAATTTGGGGGCGGGGGTCCTTTATTTATATAGTATAATAGTAATAGATCAGTATTTGAAACAAGTGCATATTTAGCATAGAACAAAGAATAGTAGTGGCACGACTGTTAAATGGAAATGATCGACTTCACTATTCACTTTGTTCGTGCCTTATATAAATATTTTTTCAAAATTCTTGAATATCATAGATGGCATTGAATAAGTGTGTGTGCAGTTTTATATAGATGGGAAAATATTATTTATTATTTTCTTCAACGGCTAATAGAGAACCGGTATGTCGATTTGAATTAGTCAAGTCTGAGTGCAATTAAAATTAACGTCTCATCAAATAATAGGAATCAGCATGATTTTTTTAAAAATTTATGATTAATGTTGGTGTAGTCAAATCGTAGGTCGTAGGGTACAATTTTTAATTCCCACAAATGACTTCATGAATCGTTTTTTTTTTTTTTTTTTTTTTATGGAACCCAAATTATTTTCAAATTCAAAAATAACTTGTAGAATTAAACAAAAGATTAACAAAATATGAAGATTAAAAAACTAAGAAATATACATTTTGTTAATTTAAAAAATATAGCTATAGGAGGCTTGGCACCATAAACTAGACAACATACAATTGTGTCCCAAGAGTATTAACTTTTTATATAATTTACCCTTGAAACTTAACTCTGTGGCACCAAAAATACAAGAAATTGCTCATTTTTATTTTCAAAAAATAAATTATTTGATATAAAGTCAAATATGAACTGGAAAGTAATTAAATATTAAATTTAAATCAAATATAATTAAATATATCAAACCAAAAATTAAAAATATTTTTTCCAACAAAATAATTTAATATGATCCAAAAATCTTGTTTCTATATTCTATAACTTTTGTAACTCAAATACTTGTTTAAATTATTTTTAAAATCAAAATACCGTGAATCTTTAAATAATTATTTTAGAATTAGTTAAATAATAACCTTAATTATTTTTTTTAATTTTTAAATTTTTAAAGAGTAATCTTTATAATTATTATTATATTTTTAAATAACCTTTTATTTTCTAATTTTAAATTTTTTAAAGTAATTTTTATTAGATAAAACTATAAAATAATTTTTTTTTCCTTAAAAATCTGGGCGTTTTATTCTTTTAGGTGGAAATTCAAGGTGCAAATTGTATAAAAAGTTAATTTTTTGGGCAAATAATATATTGTGCTCGAGTTCAGAGGACAAATTGAGCTTTATTTCTTTTTAATATGGATAATAGTTTTTTTGTTTTTTTGTTGAAGGGAATATGAATAATAACTATTAAAGATTTAACCCTTGACTAATCAAGGGCAGAGATCTATTCTCCCTTAACTAGACCTGAGTATGAAGTCCCTTTAAACATTTAGAAATGAGTATTTTGCTCCTCTTTGTATATCTGCTCGATGTGAATCTAGATTAATTGGGTCAACAGGCTTTGGAACACGGATGTTTAAAACCAAAAAAAGATTTAGAACAGTATTACAATCATAAATTAAGTTAAATTAAGTTTAGACTAATCTAATTCAGTTTATTTCAAGAAAACAATTAGTAGGAAAAAGAAGACATTAGCAGCTTGAATCTTTTTTTTTTTTTTTTCCTTCTTCAAACTGCTGTCAAGCTTTAGAACGATACAAAAAATAAAGAAAAAAAAGAAAGGATTAGTGTCTAACAGTACCTTATTACAGTAGTAGCAGCAGTAGCAGATTCCACCACCATAAAAGCTCTCTTCTGCAAGTAAACCACACGCTTTCTAGCTCCTCTCTCCTAAATTTCCATTGCATTATTGCATATTTATATTGTGATGAGAGTTCTAAAATTAGTGTTAGAAATTACCAAAAAAACCTCCTAGCAAGATAGGCATGTGAATCACATCAAACCAACAATTTATTATTCTACAATTGATATGTAAAAATTGAAGAATCTCAGTGAATCTGTTTATTTTTTTTAACCTTTTTGGTTTCATATCTTTTATGTATAATTTGCTACATATGACTATGTAAAAATTGAAGATCCATTCTCAGTGTGAATCTGTTTATTTTTTAACCATTTTTGGTTTCTCATATTTTTATTGTATATTTTAACCGTATATAGTATAATCTTTTATAATGAATTTAAATTTTATTGGATTCAAACAGATAAAAATTAATTTAAATTGAATTGGAATGATGAACTGAGATGTTTACTATTTTAAATCTAAATTTTGGATAGATACGTAATAATTTATTAATAGTCACCTAACGTGAATAATTATTATATTAAGTATGGTAAATAATATAGTAATCTTCAAAAACTTTTTATTGACAAATCGTAAGAGTAATCAATTTTTGGAAATTTCCCTCACAGTGTAAATGGTTCCTGATTTAACTCTAAAATTATATGTTAATAAACTAAGAAATTATTTTATATACTAATTATTGTATCTATTTAATTATGTAAAAACTATAAGATATCTTTAAAAGGATTTTTTATATTTTATTGGTTGAGCATAAAATAAAGATTAATTTTGATTTTGATAGGTTTTATATTACACTGTATAAAGGTCAGAGTTCATATAAAATATGGGTGAGAATGTAATATTTGTTTTTTAATTAATTTACTCGTTTTAAATCTTTATTTGATTTGATTAAGTTATTTTACTTAAACCATTATGTATTATTAAATTTTAAGTGTAATTTAAGAAAATATATTATAAGATTTATTTTTTGATATAAAATAAATAAATTAAAAATTAATATACTATAAAGATATAATATTAAATATGGTAGAGATAAAATTTTTTTAAAAAAATTTGACTTTGTCGCAGTTGAAAAAAGGAAAATGTAATTCTAATCTTTAAAAAAAAAATTTGATTATATTATTAATTCCTATATTTAAAACGTCTAATTTCTATCTATTAAATAAATCTAAAAGATTTACATTATATAAGGTAAATAATGTAATGAATAATATATTATTAAAATATATATTTAAAGAAATTTAAATAAATTTTATTTGTTTTAAAAGGGCTAAAAGTAAAATTTTGAATTTTTTCATTGTAATTATAATTTACTAGCTAGTATTAAGGCAGATATTAAAATATGGTAAGTAGTATAATACCTGTTTAATTATTATTATTTATTAAAAATCTTTAGTTATGTTGACTGGTTAGATGATGGTTTATTTAACATTTAAGGTATAGATTGTAATTTATTATTATTTATAAAAAATATTGATATAGATTTATTAATTGAATTAGATAGTAAATAATAATTTTCTGAAACTATCACACTCGATTGAAGTATATATAC